CCATGACCTGTCCTCTTGACCTTGCTGCTCTAGTTAACTCCCTACGTTAAATATACATAGCTAAACATGCATTCAGCATAGGGTTACAAGTCACCCCCACAACATTAATGCTCTTTAAAGAGTCATCACTCAGCTTCCAGGATAGGATCTTATTACTTCTTGCTGATTCTTGCTGAGTTTATGGAGTGCTAGGTGTTAGAATTCATAAAGTTTGGTGAAATTTGCAAGGAATGTGGTGCTGGATGTTGAGACAACATTGGTTGCTACTGTAAGAGTTCTGAGCACACCACTTTATCTCAATTACAAGAGTTGTAGTTTCAGTGCTATATGTGCTGAAGCATCAAAGGGAGTTGGAGCAGAGATAGCAAAGAGGATAAGGAGAAGAAAGGGTTCTTAGTAGGAGGCCTCATCTACGTAGTATTTTGAGGGAGCCATGCTGACCAGATATCCTAAACTGATCTAGTCCCATTTGCCAGCATTTGGCCCATATCCCTCTAAACTCTTCCTGTTCATGTACCCATCCAGATACCTTTTAAATGTTGTAATTGTACCTGCCTCCACCACCTGCTCTAACAGCTCATTTCATACGTGCATTACCCTCTGCGAGAAAAGGTTGCCCCTTAGGTTCCTTTTATATATTTCCCCTCTCACCTTAAATGTATGCCCTCTAGTTTTGGACTCCCCTACCCTGAAGACCTTGGCTATTCACACTATCCATGCTCCTCATGATTTTATAAACTTTTGTAAGGTCATTCCTTAGTCTCTAATGCTGCAGGGAAAATACTCCCTGCCTTTTCAACCTCTCCCTATAGGTCAAACCTTGTAAATCTTTTCTGCATCTTTTCAAGTTTAACAGCATCTTTGCTATAGCAGGGAGACCAGAATTAAACACAGTATTCTAAAAGTCGCCTAACCAATGTTCTGCACAGCCAGAACATAACATCCTAGCTCCTATACTCAATGCACTAACCAATAAAGGCAAGTGTACCAAACACCTTCTTTGCTACCTTGTCTCCCTATGACTCTATCTTCAAGGAACTATGCACCTGCATCCCAAGCTTTCTTTGTTCAGCAACACTCCGTGGGATCTTACCATTAAGTGTATAAGCCCTGTCCTGATTTGCCTTTCCAAAATGCAACACCTCGCACTTATCTAAACTAAACTCCATCTGCCACTCCTTGGCCCATTGGCCCATCTGATTAAGGTCCCATTGTAGTCTGAGATAACCTCCCTCACTGACCACTACACCACCCATTTTGGTGTCATCTGCAAACTTACTAATCATTCGTTGTATATTCACGTCCAAATCATTTACTGGAAGTACCTATGATACACCAAAGAAATGGTCAAAGAACTCTGCCACCTCTGGGCAGCAGACATACAACCTTAAAGCTGGGTGCTGCCAATGGCTATGAAAAAGAACATAACACTGAATTTTATTTTAAATGCATCTTTCTGGCTGGAACAGGGAACGTAGCAAACAACTCTCAGTTTGCTGTCTATTATTACATACAGGAGGTGGCAGATGCTCTGTACACTCAGGAAGGGACCTCATTGTCTTCTAAACAGAGAGAAACAGGAACGTGCAGGTGACTTTACTGAAATAGAAGTCTTCATCATTGTGCAGGGTGCCGTGGACTACATGCTCATGAGTGATGATTAAATGTTTTTCACTCTGCATCCAGGTCCCCTGTGCTAGATTGCTGGCATTGATCCCTCTGGTTATCTGCTCCTTATGTTTTCTCAGTAATTGTCTAGAGGGCCTCCTAGCTTCTTGAATGAACTAAATCTCTTTGTTGCTGTCCACTTCTTGCATCAAGGCTTCTAGTGTGGTATCTGAAAGCCTGGGACAAGCTCTCTAGCTGGTTGCATAATTTCTTTTGTGTCTTGTAGGTGTTTCACCCTTAAAGCATTTTCAGCAGGCAGCCAAAATGCACTTTGTCTTTAAAAGCTACAAACTACCCTTAAGTATTAAAAGATAGCTTTAAATGCTAGATTAAGCTTGGATGCCCTGATGCAGTGCGCTGCCACCCACAGGGTTCACACTATGGTCATTATAATTAGCAGTTAACATGAAGTTTGCATACTTCCTGAACATTTTGAATGGATGTGGGGCAATCATGCGTCACAATAATCAAGTTTGATTTCAGAGCTATCCAGTTTAGTTTCTCAAAGTTAGAATATCAGTATTATTATATCAAATGATGTCTGTATGTACATCTTATAACAATCTATCATCTTTGACATGTTTGATACAATTGTATTGAAGAAGGCTTTCAACAGGAGTCTTTGTATTGTTGCAAACTTCTATTTCATATTTCATGTCTTTTAGCATATCATTTTTAGATTTAGAAATTAAAGTTTAACAGTAGAAATTGGAATAAATGCAACTGAAGCACCTTGAGGTCCAGTCCATTTTAAAGGTTATTGCTTTCCAAGGTTAAAGCCACTGACTAAGGTATTAAAATGCTGGGATTTAGTGATTGCCAGAATATGTAAAACAAATGTCAGTTTAGGACGTTACCATGTTTGTTTAACAGAATAAGAATAGAAGACAGAGCTATATAAATAGCAGGTTACTTAGCTGGAGAGGTGGTGTTTTCAAAGCTTGCAGTAATGGCAGTCCAGAGGGAGTTACAGCTGAATTAGCCACAAAGGAATCCCAAAAGGTCCACTAAAGGAATTTGGAGCAGACTGCAGTGTCGTTGTGATAGATGGAGCTTAGTAAAGTTCTGTGGTTTCAATTTATCTGAATGTGTATTTACTGGGAGACATTGGTTATGATTTGATTACTGGCAGTTAAAGAAGAGAAAGCCTGCAAGCCATCGATACTTTCAGTACAGCTGAGAGTGGACTACAAGAAGCTTATAAGCAATGTTTATAAGATTGGAGCTTGGAAAAGTAGAGTAGAATTGGTGAAGCTAGCTGTTTGATAAAATCTGAAACTGTGACCGTAATTAGATGCTTGGGAACAGTCCCAGGAATTCTGTGGAACTTAGTCATAGGAGGAGAGATTGAGCTACCAAAATGTTAGCAGTCATTGAGGCAGTCTGAGTCAGAGTGGTGTTTGAGGGAGTTCCAAAGTCAGATTTTTAAAGTGAAGAACTGGAATTCCTTGCAAAAGACACCAGGGTTTAATGGGATTTGGTAGTTGACCGAATCTTCCCAGACCTCAAATGGCGTGGGCATTGGTGGGGAAGTTTGGGGAATCACGTGAGATCAGCCTTGAAGAACTTTCCACCGTGGAGAGCTAAGACTTCAATTTTCCAACTAAGTGTTGAACAACAAGTTGAGCTTCTCACTAGTGAGAGGCGAGACGCCTGTTTGCTTGCATTAGCACACGTTAACATCCGAGACTCATCTGAAAGCAAAATACTGCAGATGTTGGTAATCTGAAACAAACAGAAAATGCTGGAGAAACTTAAAAGGTCTGGCATCATCCGTAAGATGTGCAAACTCATCGAAGAAAAGTCATATCAGACTGCAAAAGTTTCTCTCACCACAGATGTTACCAGACCTGCTGAGTTTCTTTAAAATTCACTGTGGTTTGTTTCATTATCTCACCACATTGATATACTGTTTCCTATTCTCCTACTTGCTGGATAGAAACTTGATGATGACAATTCCTGATATGAAACTCGGAGCAATAACCTGATGATTCCAGTGTGCCACTTGTTCCTCCAAACCTACATCAGTGTTCAGCATCACAAGACATACTCCATGGGCAGCGGCTGCATAAACCCACCATCTAGCAGGACCTCCATGGCCCTATTGGTCAAGCAGTATGTCACTTACCTTCTGCCAGACAGGTCTAAAGTAGGTAGTCAAAGCATTCTGGGCAACACTGAGCTTCCAGTACTTGATGGGCCTTAAAGGTGACATTGATGCCAGGAATCCCAGGAGGTTCCAATAACAGCCTCCGCCTGTGGTAGAATAGGATGAGTGAGGCACCATGCTGCCGTGGTGCAGAGGTCATGAGACCATTTTGGGAAAATAGAGTAAGAAAACTCTATCCGACTCACAGAGAAAAACCCTTCATGAAAGCTGCCAGTTTTTTTTATCTTCAGCCCAGTGTCACTAATATCAAGATGTCTTGATGAAGTCAGACATTTAAAGTGCAGACTGTGGGATGATCAACCGCAGTTTGTCTGTTTACTTATATTTACCTCATGTTAATCCTGAACGTTGACATCTAAGTTGTATATATTGTGTATATGCTTTAAGGTAACTAACTTGCCTCTTCAATATATCTATTTAGTCATTATTGCTTATGTTTGTTTTGTTCAAATATGTATACAAAGATTTTATGGTGTGTTTCAACACAAATCTAGAATTCTACCACTTATATTCTTACCCTTGGTTCTCACATGCATTGTATTCGTGAAATATTATGGTGTATCAAGCCAGATCATAACATATTCTCATACGGGGGATACTGACAGCATGGAGAATTGAAACAAGGAAATGCTATATAGGAACTAATGTCCTTGAGTTCATAATCAGATAAAGACACAGTTATCTTGTCATCACTATTAACCAAGGATAATGAATTAATATGATAGCCATAACTTGTCTGAATAGCTTAGCATGATAACCCATATCCAGTGAAATATGCTTTCTGTATATGGCAATACTACTAACATCAGCAACAATTGCAATTAGTTGCTGCTTAACTTATTTTTGTCCAAATTTAGAAAGTTGTATAATTATTAGAGTTTATGCTGTGAGAAGCTAGATCCTTAGGATGTTGTTTAGAAACATTGCTAATCTGTTTGCTAAAGATACTGATTCTGCTGTTGGGGTGGGCCTCATGTTTAAAAGTTGGGTGGGTAGAATGACCTGCAGATGTGAGTTCCCACCTGTACATAATTGGACTACCCTCCCCACGTATATATGCAAGTTTATCATGGACTGGGTGATGCCAGCAATCCTTAACATAAAATTGATCCAATGTGTGTCTTGTGTTCTGTGTGACAAGGGTTCTTCTTTTGTTTTTCAGAGTTTGGGGTCAGCAGACAAGAAAGATTCACTTCAAAAAAGGTAGGAAAATGCAAAAGAAATAATACCGACTGATCTTAACCTTTGAACAGACATGAAAATCCAGAGCTGTATATTTGTGATGGTTTCTCCATTTCACAGGATTTCTACACCTTTATGGGTTGTAGTGCAACATGAAATATTTTTGATTACATGGTTCTGTAGATACATACACAGTTCCGTGTAGTGTGTTGTGGTGCTGGACATCACTATGAATAGAGTTGATCACTAATTCTCATTTGGAAATAGACCACCTCGCAATCTGATCATGAAAATTGAACAGAAAATGTGTAGCTTTCAATTGTTTGTAAAGCTAAACTTATGCCTACTTGCATGACAGCATTCTTTACATGTGAAAATGACTCTACATATATTAGTTTCTTAAATGCCTTGTGCTGCATGATTTTAAATTGGAAATAATGTCCTACCATGAGGGATTTGGGTTGAGAAGAAGGATAGGTCAGGGGATTTATTTGACACAGGGTTTATGCAGTGTTTGACCCTCAACCTGTTTAAGAGGATGCCAGGTTACTGGTTGATATTTTCTTCTTCCTCAGATGATCCTAGATTGAGGCAGAGACGATGGGTATGGTTCAAAAATGAATTGAATATAAGTTTACAAAGAACATACAACGAAGTAGGGCAGAAGGTTGGGTAAATTGGTTGAGATGAAGAACCAGTAACAATATTGGCCTGATAGTCAGAATTACCTGTGTGCAAATATGCTAACTTTCAAAACCACTGGTTCCTTAAGACACAATGTTAAGCTCCCTATCCACCAAATTGTGCGTCAAAGTTGCTCCCTTACATGAGACTGTATTCCTTCATGCTGAAACTTTTTAAAAAATGTGTATCTATCCTTTTTGTCAATTGATGAAGGTCATCCTGGATAATTTGTTATTACTAGGATCACCTTTCACAATAGCATAAAATGTATGAGCTATGGAAAATGACCATAAACCAAAATGATTAATGTTACTTCCAGATTTATGCTAGGCAACTGGCTTAAAGTCAAGACAACCTAGAATCTTTCAACAAAAGCAATATTTTTGCCACAGGTAAACAGTCATAAAAATTAATATACATTCATATGAATGCGCAGATGTAAGTATTAAAATGGACTCACAAACTGTTGCATACACTGTGTTGGAAATAGCCCTTCAATGAAGTACTTGTTACATGTCCATGCTGCTGTTCTTCTGATGGGATAATGCTTAAATCCTGCTAATCTAGAGACTTAGGTAAACACTGAGATTCTTTGGAAGAAAAGCAAGTTCTCCCAGTGTATTTGCCAACATACCTGTGAGCCAGAGCACCAAAAATAAATTGACCCATCATTATCTCATCGCTGTTTTCAGAACGCTGTTGCTACAAAATAATTCCAAATTTTGTCAGTGCAAGAATTGCAATGGCATTTTATAATGAAATTGAGAGCTGAACCTTACCTTTCTTCATGCATGTTGGATCTACATTTTTTGAGTGTTTTCCATTGTGAGGCCGAGCAAAATTTCTTACATATCTAACTAAACTCACCTCATTACTTACTCCACTTCCTAGGTGACCCTGGCATTCAATTCCATCCCCATTTTACCATGCACTGTTCCTGGAACAACTCACCGCTCAGCAGATATCCACTTAAAGATCAGCAGCTCTTGTGTCTGCTCCACCTTTGGAAGGCCGCTATGCATCTGGACAAGCATTGACAGCTTGGCATTGCTGTTCACTAACAAGTTAATGGCACAGCAACCACAAAGCCACGCTGCTCATGCCACATGGTTGACACTCTCCCCCCCTCCCCCACCCCACAGCACCCTTGGGAGTCGCACAAGTAATGGGTTGTCTTTGGCCTCTTTTTAAGTCATTGATGCTAGTTGAGTATTATTGGAGCTCAATTTGCAAGACCTATAGAGTGGTGCAAATCATCTTTGCCCAGCATTGGACACTAAGTACAGTTACTCTACATGCATTGCAAATGGGCAATGAAATGATTGCAAATTAAATGTAGCTACATTTTTCAGTTGCCTGCTTCACGTATCTGCCCTAGTTTCCAGCAGCTGTGGATGCCGCTGCTTTTGCCCATCAAACTAACACCACCCACCCTGATGTCCCAGCCATTTTCCGGATGCTTTTTGCTTGTAGAGAACAGCAGGTCTTAGCAGGGAACGCAGTGTGCAATGGATACCATCACCATTGGACTCTTCCTGGTCACCAATAACTTCCTCCTAAGCCTCCATGTCCCCTTTTATCTTGCACTACCCAACAGCACATTTCCCTCCTCCATGTGGAGACTCACCCCATTGAATTTGAATCTATGACTTCCCTGTCCCCTGATCCCTGATGTTTCATCTTATTGATACCTATTCTGGTCCTCAACTCAATCCTGTGAAGGCTATCATGGTGGTCACTGCCAGTGGCCCCTTCTGTAGTCTACTGTAACCTCCGATGCTGTTCTGCCTAACTCCTCAAACACCTCAAGTTTCCCCCATGTCACAATTCTTGTCCACACCTCTACAAAAGCCTCTACTTTCTCTTGGCAGCCTTGACTCCTGACTCCCCCACCCCTTTTGGAAGAGATCCCACTGCTGTTCCTACAGAACCCCCACTGAACCCTCCTTAATGATCACAGACAGACTACCCCCACCAACCCCCCCCGCCCCAGACTGTACTAACCCTAGACTTCTGACCAACTTTAACAAGCAGCCCATGGACATGAGTGACCAGACCCCTGACTGCTGTGTTTGCAGCTCCCAAACTAACGATATGCAAATCCCTTGACTGCAAGTGTTGGCCCCCCAAGACTAACTGCTGTACACTCCTCACACTGTAGTCAGATAGATCCATTGACCTTAAACTGCCCAAGTGAATGACTGACCATGATCAAGCCCCTGGATTGTGTCCATCTTTGCCTATGACTGAGGAGTTCCGATATTCCTGACAGGTGATGCCCCTCCACTTGACTGGAAAGAGGGCTAGCCACCATTCAGTTTCCAAGAAGGTCATTTGGTTGAATAAACATATAGTGTGTTTGCTGTGCAGGCAGCTGGCATGTGCTGTAGGTATTAGATTAACGTCTCAATTTTCTGTTCATAAAGACCACATCTGGACAGATTCCCAATGAAAATCATGTCAAGTAGTCTGTCTGTAGATCTGCGAAAAGGAACACGTCAGTATGGCAATGCTGATAGCCTTTGGCTCAGGCTTAAGTGTCTTAGCACTAACAGGCATGGCAAGGCAAATTATGACAGAATGTAGAGAGACACTCGGAGAGCAAGTGGGCAGCCCCACAGATGCAGTCTGGTCCAATCCATAAACTGGTGCATGATCTTCTGCACAATGTGTCCTTGCAGAAGACTTTCAATAGCAGTTGCAAGTCCTTGCTTCTTAAGCATGCTGCAAATGGATCAGAGAGTTGCCATGATATCGTAAGGGTTTACAGATACTGGGTACGAATGTCCATGAACCAGCGGTGTGTAAAGCTGATGGCCATGGATTGTGCCCTGCTTTTGGTGCTGACCAACATGGAGACTGTTCACAGCCAGTGGTGAGCTGAAATTGCCATATAATTGTCTGACTTCTATGTTGAGAATTCTTGACATGTAGTTTATTTGGTGTGCTTGTTTAGATAGCTGAATATTAATAAGGTGAATTGTGGCATTAATTACTTTTAACAAGCTCCAGTCCCCCATAATTGGCAACTCCCACTCTGTAGTGTAAAACTCACTATGCTGCTTGGCAAATGCATAAAAGATGTTGCGAGTTACTCCCAACGTGTGATATGCCTTGTTAGATTTCTTGCCCATTTCTGCCACAATGGTGCACGTTATACAGGCCTTCCTATAAGATTCTACTTTGAGTGTCTGCAAATTGTTCAGAAATGCTTTGGAATTTATTGACTTAAAAGGTTTCAAATAATGTTTCTTCTATTCATCGTGGGATGTGGGTATTGCTGACCATGCCAGCATTTATGCCTGATTGACCTGGAGACAGTGATGGTGAGATGTCTTCTTGAACCACAGCAGGCCTTGGAGTATAGTGACACAAGCAGTTCTCTCAGGAAGGGAGTTCCAGAATTTTGACCTTGCAACAGTGAAGGAAGGTAATACAGTTCCAAGTCAGGCTGGTATGTGGCTTAGAGGGAATCTTGCAGGTGGTGGTATTCCCAAGTATCTGCTGCCGTTATCCATCTCGTTTGTTGCAGTTGAGGGTTTGGAATTTGCTGATAAAAGAGGCTTTGTGAGTTGTTATAGCAAATAAATGATAAATCAACACCAGCACTATTATATTAATTTGGACTCTGGGCATTGATGTCCTTAGATTTCCGGAAGGCATTTGAAAAGGTGCCACATTAAAGATTATTGCAGAAAAAAAGAACTTCATGATATAGGGAATGGCAAATTGGAATAGACAGAAGATTGGCTGGCTAATAGAAAGCAGTTAGTACACACAAATGATTGTTTTTCAGTTTGGCGAGATGTAAAGAAGTGGTGTGTCAGAGGGATCAGTGCTGGGATCTCAATGGTTTACAATTTATATAAAAGACAGGACAAGAAGGTACAGTTGTCAACTTTGTTGATGTCACATAGGTAACGAAGGTAAGTTGTGAAGAGGATATAAATGACTACAAAATATATAGGTTGGATAAGTAGAAAGAGATCTGACAAATGGAGTATAATGTGGAAAAATTTGAAATTGCCCATTTTGGCAGGAAGAATGAAGATGTATATTTTCTAAATGTTGAGAGATGCAGAGCTCTGAGATCTAGAGGGACATGGGCATCCTAGTATATGAAACACAAAAGACTTGAATGCAGGTCTAGCAAATAATTATGAAAGCAAATAGAATATTCTCATTTACTGCAGGGGAATTGAATACAAAACTAGGCAGGTTATGCTTCAGGTATAGAGTATTGCTGAGACGACATTGGGAGTATTGTGTACAGTATTAGACACCTTATTTAATGAAAGATGTAAATGCTTTGAAAGCAGTTCAAAGAAATATTACCT